AATCCGGCGGAACCGGATTTCACCGGATAGTGCAAAATCCGGCGGAACCGGATTCCGCACCGGGGTCCGGCACACCCCTATTACCTATAATTATTTTGGGACTTTTTTTTTACTTTTTTTTGTTAATTTTTATTTTTTCTTGCCACAGCGTAAATTCCACGTGATTTTACTTGTGGCTTTAGTCGTAGTTTTAGGGTTCAGGTTAGATTTAAGGATCGATTTAGGGTTCGGGTTAGGCATAGGCATAGATTTAGGGTTCGGGTTAGGCGTAGGGATAGATTTAGGGTTCGGGTTAGGCATAGGGATAGATTTAGGTTTCGGGTTAGGCATAGGGATCGGTTTAGGGTTCAGGTTAGGCATAGGGATTGATTTAAGACATTTTTTCATACATTTTTAACGCTTTCTTCCTAATTTTAGCAAACGCGAGTTATTTTATTTTTCCATGGCCACCATCTTGGTTGCCTCGACCCTTGAACACGTAAAAGTGCGCGGGTCGAGGCAACCAAGATGGCGGCCATGGAAATAGACGTGGGCAGCTCTCTCTGAATTTACAATGATTTGTTATGGTTATCTTCATTAAATAACTTCAATTTACTGCTCTTTTTTAACATCTCTCCCAACTCTCTGCCCAATTTTTATTTTAGTCACTTTTATTTTTTCCTTATTTTTTCCTTAGGTCTCGAGTCTCAATTAACACTTATCCCAAAATAATTCATGAAAAAATCATAACTTTCTTTAGAATTGACCTACAAACATAAGTTTTGGTATCAATGAATTGCATTTTTCAGGCCCTATCTACCCAACTAGCTCTTAAACTTAAAGTCAAAGCTATAACTATAACTATAAGTATAAGTCAAGTTCATTTTGAAAATGTTACCCTAGCCTAGGACTAGGAATCTAGGAATAATTTAAGATTTTCAAAGTTCCTAGAATTAGGCCTAACGTTCAAATTTCGATACTTACTCATTGCTTTATACAAAAAACTAACTCTAGGGTCAATATCGTCCAATGAATTTATATTTACATCGCTCTTGCGTTCTTTTGAAGACATATTTTTGGTCTTTATGGAGGCATCCATTTTTATTTTTAAATAAGCTGCTAAATGGTAAGCCTTATTACCGAGCCTCAAAATGAAACCCAAAAAGAATGCTACGTCAATTAAAGGTAGTAAATAAATAGTGGAAACAGATATGTTTAGGCTTGAAAGAAGAAATAATATTTTTTATTGCCATTTTGGCTAAAAGTCTTCTTCATCATAAAATACAAGAAATAACAAGTTATTTGAAATTAAAACTTAAGTCACTGTAGAAACAAAGGCAAAGAAGGCGTCAACAAAGACAAAGGCAAACGTAGTAAATTGTCAAAGCTAATAATACTAATAAGTAATTCTAAGACCTTTTATAAATAAAAATAGTATTGGTTATCACCATACAAATCCATAAGGAAAATTTCTTGTTAATAATATAATTTTTAAATTAGCATCATACTTACTCTTAATTTAAAGGTATACCGGTAGTGAAAATATTAAACTATAATTTTCAACAAAGATTATCATTAATCATTATGTTTGAAAACCACCAATTATGAAAAAAAAATATACATGTGTATATATTTTCTAGTAACCTTTAACTATCTTTTTTTTTTTAATTTGATAGCTGATAAGGGTTGAAAATGTATGAGTATGAAAAAAAGAGTCCGCTGGAAAAAATGAATAGGTTATACACACTACACACTTCAGGAATAGAAACATTTTGTTTAAGAATTTTGATTCAAAATGTATTTTATTTAGGAATCATGTAATTAAGATATATTTAATATTATATTACAAAACTGCCTTTTTGGTTGTAATATTAACTAGTGAAAAAATTATGGAGGTGCAGTTGTCGTTTGAAAAATTTAAAATCATTTAAAACAGGTGTTTCAAATTGAAATTTAGTGTGTTTTCTGCTTTAACTCTGGCAGAATTTTACCTATGTGAACCCTATAGGATGCTGTATATCGTATAAAACGTACTTTTTCTTTTCCTGAAGTAAGCATACTTTTTTTTTTCCTGAAGTAAGCATACTTTTTTCTGACCAATCCTTTTGTATAATATAACTATATATAAATCCTAAATCCAACCCCCTTCATTTTTTTGTATTATATATTGTTGATCTAGAGCAGGGGTCTCCAAACTTTTCAGCCCGAGGGCCGCATTAACTATCAAACAGTGGTTTGCGGGCCGACTGCACACTCGAGCAGGGTTTCTTTCAGCATTATCTCGGGGGGGGGGGAGCCAAGAAGCGCCCCCGCCCCGGAGNAACAATCTGACCCCCCCCCCCCCCGGGAAAATTTCTGAAATAATCATCTGCACTCAAGGTCCAAATAAAAAAGAATCAAAACATGGATGTTGTTTTTAATTATTTATATAATATTATTTCATTCAGTTAATGACCTCCAGCTGCAGTCCTTCTGGGCAACTGGCCACATCTGTTTCAAATGGGTTTTGAAAACGTCTCACTTCTTCTGCTTTTAAATCAAAGTCAGAAAACCGCTGCTGAAAATGCAGTTGGGGGTCTTTGATGATTTCGCATGCAAGTAATGTGGGGAACTTCTGCCATGAAGTCCGTCAACTGCTAAAAGAGCGTAAAGTTTTTGGCATGTACTTGTTCCAAAAACAAGACGAGTTTGGATCTGATGGCCTTTAAGAGGTGTATAGATCTTGTGTTATGTTCATGTCTTCAACAACACTCCTAACGAACACAAGCAGTTGAGAGGTGGAACAGCCGTCCAGAAATTCATCCATTGTAAATAAAAATTGGTGAAACTTGCTTGCATTTTTCGATATTTAAGTCAAAACTTTTTCACCCTTGTCTGCAACACGGCGTGCAAAGCTCCGCCACTAGATGGCGTTATATCATTTCATTTCATTGACTGTGAACGAGAGTAGAAAAACTAAGCATCGAATAAGGTTTTGCAAAATAATGATCGGTTAGAAAACATAACGCACTACTGCGCGCCTCTATTTTAATTCGGTAAAAACATAACGCCTACGTAAGCGTCGTCTGATCTTGTTAGGATACACGTACATTTGCGCAATTTTTTATTCCGTTGACAAAAGTTCTCCGAGGGCCGCATGAGAGAGCCTCGCGGCCCGCATGCAGCCCGCATGCGGCCCGCGGGCCGTAGTTTGGAGACCCCTGATCTAGAGCACATGTTTTAAAATCATGGCCCGCGGGCCACATCCGGCCTGCTGAACAATTATATCAGGCCCGTGAGGTCTTGACTGGCGTACAATTATATCCAAGTCAACACAATTGTGTTTTCCAATGCACACTTTACTGAAAAACTTAGCTTACTTCGCGTCCAGTTCGATGGCACTTTCGTGACTTTGAAGCACAGAAATGTAATTTCGAGCAGTTTCGTAACCCATTCGTCATAGACGTGGAAACTGCACCTGTAAATTTGCAGATGGAACTAATAAAGCTGCAGTGTAATGGGACATTTACGTCTGCTTCCGTGGTCGAACGCCTCTAGAACACGGAGCAGCACCACTGCCCGGTGGTGCCACATGGGATTTTGTCTCAGCGCGGCGTGGACGACTAATAGGGAGGGAAACCCCCCGAAGTTAACAAAAGCCCGACCCACTTGCATGACTTCCTACGCAATGGAAAAATGATTACTTGTTGCCGTTCATGGGTATGAGAAAGCCGCCCCTAGGCGACCGTTTCGTGCCCACTACGTCCTGACCAGACAACTCCCTGGGCGGTGGGGAGAGGTAACGCAACACCACCTCCCCGGAGAGGAAGTAAAGCCGTTTAGACCCGCAGGAGAGTGGACCGCGGACGCTTTAAACGCAGCGTCTTCCGTCGTCGAGCGTCCCTCAGGCCAGGAGGGAGGTTCCTGGCGCGCTTCCGCAGGGTCTGGAGTCGGGGAAACCCGGCGACGGCCCTTGTGGGGGAGTGCTGGGGGGGTATTATGAGTGCGAACTCGACGACCCACCGACACCATCTCCAAAGTGACGTTATAATGGGACACTTAAGGCAAAGTACGACACAGTTTGGCCTGCACAGTTCACTCGTTTCAATCCTGAAGAGATGCCCTAGCTTCTTCTACATGGGGCTCAAACCTTGAGCATGTTGGTTAGCCCATATATGTGTGAGCAGCTGTTTTATGTGATGAAGATTAACAAAACATCACACTTGCAGTCCATCATGAGAATCTCCATGACACAGAGAGTTACTCCCAACATAAACGAACTCACTTGTTTTTGTAGCCAAGAAAATGTACCAAACATCCAGCTCTGAAAAATTGGCATAAGAACGAAAATGGGTATGCCAATGATTTTTAATATTAAAACTTGTTTCTGTTTTAATTTATATAAATTGTTTTTTGTTTTTTTTTAAAGATTAATTATCCGCTTATTGAATGTTTATCCTGTTCGGCCCACAACCTCACATGTGATTTGAGTTTTGGCCCGCCAAGCGATTCAGTCGACACCCCTGATCTAGAGTTTAGAAAGACCTCACTTATGTTTTTGCTTGATATATATGTACATGTAACAAAATGTTACATAACATATCAGTTTTACATTATTTAGATAGTTGTTTTATAAATATAATTTTATATATATTTATATATATAATAGTGTCAAAATTTGAAACAATAAAATAGCCTAGTCAGACTACGTGTGATTGTGAGTGTGTCTTAGTGTCTTAGTGAGACTTCGTAGACCTGTCAACTGTCAATTTTATACGCTACGGCCAAGTGTAATTTAATTTTAATGTTGGGTAATTGGGTAGTTTATTGCGAAACCAATACACATAAAATAGAGAATCAATTAAGGGGTCACGTGTCAACATATCTAAAATAATGTTAAATTAATCATATTTGTTATAAATTAGATCTATTGATTGGGGAGTTTTAAGGAAAGGTTTGGATAGGAATTTTTTGGGTTTAAAACCAAAAAAAAACCGCATTTGTATAAACCGGTAAAGGGAGGTAACGAAAGTTACGAAATGTGATTATAAAATGGCCTTGTCAAACACAACTTCTTGTGTTCTGCTGGAAAAATGGTGTAAGGGAAAATGTACTTTTAATCTTTTATGGAAATTAACTAATGCCTTGGGATCAACTACTTACAGGTCTAACAACTTGGAATTATCGTGTGGTTTTCACCAAGCGAATAACATTAAGGTAGTGTTTGTTTTTGTATCATCACCTTGGCTTGCCTTCGCTATGCTTTGAAATTGAAGTACCAAACGACCTTGTCGGAAGCCGTATCTTGTAAAACTTTAAAATAGTACAAGCTTTACAAATTCATCTACACCTTAAAATATGTGATTAAAAAATACATTAATGTAGTTTTTATATTAAAATAATAAATTATTAATACAGTTCAGTGAGTTTAACTGAGTTTACTGAGTGTATGATTACAGTCCAAAACTATAACTATAATTACTTTGAAAATGATAGTATTAGTATAGAAGACTATACTCTAAGACTGACTAACACTAACAGTGTTAGTAACACTGAAGGCCAGGCATTGACTGAAGTTTGTTATTTTTGTAATATTATCATATAATATTATGACATATAATATAAAATATAATATGACGCCTGCATTTGGACACCTCACAATTAATCTGACAATACAAATTGCCAGAATGAAATGCCGGTAAAAGTGCAGTTCAGGTGCGTATATTATTTCTTAGCGCATTTCGTATTTTAAATTTTTTTTATCATGCAAACTTACGTGTATTCTTTAATAATTAAATCCAGGCAGTTATAGTTAACTAATTCTGAATTATAAATCGCATCTTTTCTTTTTATTTTACTTCTAAAGAGTCTTTAAACATCCCCCAACCAAAGTGACAGGGCCCCCATTTGTTTGTATTTTTCTTTTTACGCTATGCCAGATTTTTAGCCACCTATAAGTTAGTAATGCTAAACGAAATTTTCAAACTAAGCATGTTCACAAAAAAGAATGAAATACTAGATTCTTCATTACGCACAAGCGCCCCCCCCCCCAACTTTCTTTTTTCCCCTCTCATAGAGCTCGGAATATAGGGGTTGTCCTTTGAAGTCGAGTCGGGGGGGGGGGGATTAGAAATGGATCACTGACTAAGCAGTGGACACACACGTCATCATTGTCCTGGACCTGGTGTGAAGCTGATCACCCTGAAGGCTGCTAATACGCTGTCCGTGATTGGTCAGCTCTAATTTGAGCACCCCTCCTCTTTTTTCGTATGCAAATGCGCTTATTACTGGTGACTGATTTGCGCTGAGTAAAGTGAGGGCTAGTGATTATTTTTTTTATATTATAAGACAGACTCGTTTTGGCTTTGCTGTATTGCTGGTTGTAGGATCATTTTGTTTAAAATTGCAGGACGACCAAGAAACAATAACTAAAATTGTTGATGCAACAGGCATTTTTACTGGTGCAGCATTTGGTTTATACGCCCACCTTGTGTGGCAACAAATAACGTTAATACAACTGGAATTTCTCCAAAGGGGCTCGAAACAATTGCAATGTGGCTTGTAAGCTGGGTTCGTATGTCAAGTGTGTGAGCTCCACATAATTACCGGGATCTGCATATCACCCGAAACAGGATCTCACCGTAACTGGTATCCCGCCAGGATCGGTAACCCACTGGATCGGGATCCCACCGGGATCAGGATCTCACTAGGGTCAAAATCCTATCGGGATCGGAATCTCACCAAAACAGGATCCCACCGGATTGGGATCTCATTTAGTTTGGGATACCACCGAAAACGGATCTCACCGGGATCGGTATCTTACCGGGATCGGGATCCCACCATGACCAGGATTCTATCGGAATCACATTGGGTTCGAGATCCCATCATGATCCTTCCGGGTGCCATCGGAAAACGGGAAAAACGAAAGGTTTACATAAGTTATTTTAATTGTTTTTAATAGGAGACAAATTAATTATTATTATTTTTACTACAGTGTTGTTGTTTTGTTGTTGACATTTCGTTTAATAACAATGTGAACTAAAAGGACAGAGCAGATGTTTTTTTTCTGAATGCAGCCCCGGGCAGCTCCGGTTATAGTTGATAGTAATGTTATAAAATAAATACATCATTTTTTTTAACAAGATTCATCCAATTGGGCAACTTTTATAAAGTATCTTTAAAGACAGATGAGTTATCCTTGATTTACCACAATGGCTCCGTAAAACACGAAAGATTCATAAAAATTTATTTTTTTTATCTCGTAAAATTTGTTAAATTGTTGTTGTATTCCAATAAAAAGATGGTATATAACTTTTAAAATACTTTTTATAAAGAATTAACATAAGTTTACACGGGAAAATAAGAGATTCAAACAGAAATAATATACGCACCTGAACTGCACTTTTACCTATACCGAAATGCCTTGCTACAACAGACCAAATTTAGGTAAACAAAAACTTAGAAAAGTCTTTTATGATTGAAAATTATAAGTGCTATGTAAGCTAATGAATTTCCATTTATTAAGATTGATAAAAGCATCGTCTTATCTTAAGTTATCTTTTACTTTGTTATTGTGGTGGGCCGTACTGCCATAGTTACATTTCAAAAGCATGACATGTGTAAACCATTGTGGTATGTGGTTATTTATATAAATTTATTGCACCTGTTCAAGATGTCCCAATTCAATGATAGTTATTGCCAAGGCCAAGGATGCATTATTTTGATGTCAATGATGATAATTTCTCATGAAAGGTGTTTTTTAATTTTTAAAAAGCATCAACTTTATCAACTTTACAATTGTGGAGCCAGCTCTTGATAAAAATTTGTTACTCTTTGCCCTCTTGACATGAAAATGCCTAAAATTGCAAATAAACTGAATTGTTTATGAATTCCCCGCTCACTGTCACATACCCATTATGTGTTGCCAATTTTATATCTCCCTTGTTCATTAATTTTGCAAAAACTGAATATGTTCATTGGTATTAATTTAATATTATTTGGACTTGGTTCTTTCCTTTTTTACTGCAGTAAAAAATAAATAAATTTGCCGAAGATTCATGCCCCTTTTTTAAAAGCATTGAGGCTGACAAACCAACAAGTCTGGTGTAAGGTGAATGTGGAACCAAATGACTTTGGTTAAATTTTAAGATTATGTCAAGTTTAGCAGCCAAAAATTTCTTCTATTTAAAATTTTTTTGTCAGTTCCAAAATAATTTGTTATTTAATGTTGCATCTGGTAACTGAAATTTCAGGCTCTCTGTTACTCCAGCAGACAGCACCGTGGGAATCACTGTTGCAATCTTCACTCCACTTCAAAATGTTCATCTTTAAAAAGACAATGGAAACACAGTTTATCTATAGCACTACCAGTTTTTGTTCCATCTTTATCATATTATTCAATAATGCCAACCAAAAGAAAGTTTTCAACTTCTCAAAAAGATGAACCAGATCCTTCCTATCTTGAAATAGACCCATACAAATTAGTGGCTGAAGAAATGGAAGGTTTAGCTAATGATATTAAAATGGTAAGGTCTTATACAAATATGAACAAATTACTTGGTACTTTTTTCTATTGTCAGTGAGTGCTGTTGTGCATCATACTTAGTCAAACTGTTGAGATTATTGTAACGAAACTTATATGACTCTTATATATGCCAACAAAAGAATTAAGAAAATTATAAAAAACAATTTTTTTTTAAATTTATCTCTTTTTTTGTTGTAATAATTTTAAACCTCTTTATAGCAAGGTATACAAGGGGGCCTTGTTTTAACCCTGAATCTGTTCATTTATATTTTTCAGTGTCTTAAAACAGAAGAACCACTGCTCAAAACAATGTCACATTATTATTTTGATGGAAAGGGGAAGACATTTCGCCCACTTGTATCCCTTCTTATGTCCAAGGCTTGCAACATTTCCAGCAATATAGGTGATAGGTAATTCATTTATTGCAACTTGGAAAAAGATATGCTAAGGCTTTCAAAAAAAAAAAAAAAAGATAGATAAGAGTATTTGATGGAAAGGGGAAGACATTTCGCCCACTTGTAGCCCTACTTATGTCCAAGGCTTGCAACATTTCCAGCAATATAGGTGATAGGTAATTCAGTTATTGCAACTTGGAATAAGATATGCTAAGGCTTTCAAAAAAAAAAAAAAAAGATAGATAAGAGTTCAGTTATTGAGCCAGTCTCACTTAAATATAATAGCATCTAGGTTGTTGTTTTTTTAACTTAGCACATTGATGATTGCATATTTATCTATTTTATGTAATTCAATTAATTTTACTGGTACCTTAAATTTTTTTTTTAACTATTAATTTTCACTGTTATCTTGCACTGAAATGCTTTTCATCAAAAAGTAGATATGTAGATAAAAAATATGATAATTATGTAAATCAAGCTATCTTTTATAAAAATACATTGAACTAATTCTTTTCTGTATGATATGTGGTAAAGATGTCAACAGTTATAATTAAAACATCAATTTGCAAAATAACTTGAAAGACTTTAAGCCATAGATTTTAATATGAACATTTTTTTTTAAAGTATATAATTTTTCTTGTTTATTTTTAACCTTCAACAAAAGGGAAGAGTTTTTTGAAAATTTTATTTACATTTTTAATACTAGTCTATGGTTGTTTGCAGTGTTTTAGAGAAACAAAAGACAGTTGCCATAGTAGCAGAAATGATTCACACAGCCAGTCTTGTGCATGATGATGTTATTGATGCATCAGACACTCGTAGGGGACAGTCAAGCTTAAATAAAATGTATGGACAAAGAAGGGTAGGTTAAAAAATTTCTTCATATAGCAGACTCAAATAAAATATAATTGATACTTTTTAAAATACTTAGCTATAATGTTTATTTTGGTTTTTTTTGCTATTTCAGTCCATACTTGTTGGAGACTATATACTCTCTCAAGCATCTATTGCACTTGCTAGAACAGGCAACCCAGACGTTATAACTATCCTTTCTTCTGTTTTAGGTGACTTGGTTAGTGGTAAGTTTGAACTATCTTGTTGTTGCATGTAATATTAAGGCCTGTAAGATACTTAGGTTTTCAAACTTATGGGATTCAAATAAATTCTTGGTTTGTTGAGCTCATGCAGATATTTTGAAATAAATCTTTTACAAACATATTTCAGGTGAGTTCATGCAGTTAGGTTCTAAAGAAGATGAAAATGAGAGATTTTCACATTATTTGAAGAAAACTTATAAGAAAACTGCAAGCCTCATTGCCAACACATGTAAAGCTGTAAGTTTGATAGTATTGTGATTGCAATTAAAACTATTAGATTTATTCTTGATCAATTTGGATTGTTTTGTTTCAAAAGTCATATTTTAATTTTGAAAAATGCCCAAGACTTCTGAACAAATTACTTAAAAAATGAAAAATATACAGTTGAAGAGTAAAAAATCTTTCAAATTTACTAGTAATTTTTAAAAAAATGCATCTAAAATTTAAAAAAAAGGATTTTAAGTTGTTTGTTGTTTTATTGAGTTTTGTTTTCTTAAAAAAATTTTAGGTTGCTATTCTTGGGCAATGTGATGAAGAGATGTCAGAACTAGCTTATCAGTATGGGAAAAATCTGGGCATTGCTTTTCAGGTGTGTGATTAAGATAGGATTCGTAGTTAACACAGACAGGTAAGAAGGTTGTGCTAGTTAATCATCTTGTTTTATAAAAGACATGAGCAAGTCAGTCCTTCCATCATTTAATGAAATATAAAATGAGTAAAACAAAGTAGGGTTACACAGACCTATCGCAGTGGACTTACCACTCCTCTTTTCTTTCCTCTCTTCCCTATTTAATCACTCACTCACTTACTTTCTGTCACAATTCATTTGCTTCCCACGGATACTACTTCTAAGCTAAGTGATATTTTTTCATTTTATTCTGTTTTTTCTGTTGTTTTGTCCGCTGATGAAGGCTTCCCGCCGACACGTTCGTTGTTTTGTTGTGTTCCTTTTTTCAGGTTTAACCCTACTTTGTTTTACTCATTTTATATTTTGCTAACATGATTGCAGTCTCTCCACTTATTACGCTCCATCATTTGTGCTAGTTTTAATTTGGAATTATAAAATCAAAGGAAAAAATATTCCATTCTTGATATCCATTTTTAAGAAAAACTGAATGAAGTAAAAATTCTAATCCTAATTAAATTTTGTAAATACTTGTGCAAATTCCATAAAATAATTTTAAAAAACAATGAAAATCACCAAAATTTAATTTTGAGTTATGTTATGCATTTTTTAATATAGAACAAGTTAAGTTTAAATGATACAAGTATTATAAATAAATAAAGGAATTAATACTTGTGCCAATCAACCAAAAGCACAGAGAATGCCAAGGTTGTGATTGTAAAATAGCACAAATTGGACATCTGCATTTTGTCTCATCAAGTGTGGACCTTTGCGGGCATCAGCACAGGATCTGCTTTGAAGTTTTGTTTACTTCTATTGATTACCTTTTTTTTTCATTCCATTGGGATCATCTCATATTTATTTCTATAGCACATGATTCAGAAATTCTTATGTCTCATTTGTTTTCCTAAGCTTGTGGATGATCTTTTGGACTTCATCTCTAGTGATATGGTGATGGGTAAACCTACAGCTGCTGATCTTAAACTAGGGTTAGCCACAGCTCCTGTCTTATTTGCTGCTCAAGAGGTAAGCTCTGTTTGGAAAATTAATTGATTCACAATTTAAACACTCATTTCTAGATTTATAATTATAATATATAGTGTAAGGTAGATACATTATTTTAATGTATTTATTTACTGGTACATAGACAATCAGTTTAAAATCCTATATAAAGCTTCCCTAGTCATAAACTATATTTTAAAAAATGCATTATGACTTTGCTTTTTAAAAAATTCATTTGATTATTGACAAGTCAAAATACTATTGCCTACGTTTTTAATTATCTTTTTTATAATTACTATTAACTGGTTCTATTTGCATTTTTGCCTATAGTATCCTGACCTGCATGCTATGATTATGAGACGATTTACTGAGGAAGGTGACGTTGAACAGGCCAGATATTTTGTTGCTAAGGTAAAATTCTTACAATTAATGATATTGCTATTTAAAAATCCCTTTGTAACTAATGGACTGGTCTTCTGGTACAATCAAGCTAGAATCTTTTAAATGAAATATGTAAGTGATTAAATAAATTCACATAAAGGCAATGTTAAAGATTTTCTTTTTAAATAATGATTTGCAATTTACTTATGATATTACTTGTAATAATGGCTCTACCAGACAATGTGTTCACTATGAAGGGGCTCTTGACTAAAGTGATTTTGTAAAGCAAAACAGGGCCCTTGTATCAGAACCAGGCAGTCATTTCTTAATTTGATGTATTTTAACACTTCAATGCCAATCAAACTATGAAAATAAGTTATCAAAATAAGTTATCAAAATAAGTATTACATTGAACCTGTGACTTTTTATTTGCACTTGGCTGTCATAGACCATTAATACCCTCTCTGACCTGCAGTTGAACGGCATACCCGCATACCCCCATTTACACCATACACCAATGTTCACTTGCTCTGACGTCTACCCAATGTTATGCCATAAATAAAATTACATGACACTTCATGAGATGGGATACATAGATATGTCTTACATATTCAAAGAAAGTTAAATTTTCATACCCACCGTGATGCATCTGTACATTTTTGGATGCCTCCCCCCCTATTCATAAAAGAAATGAGCTGCTTGTCCCCTCATCATATGAGACCCCCTCCTGTTAGGTGTCCATATGCAAAAGCTCCCAATCCAACATCCCACTCAGTGGTTAGATAAAATATTGATTGCCTCTTGTGGGGTATTCCATAAGGTTGGTTAGATAGATATGCCATATTCTGCCTTACATGACACATTTCTAATAAGTTTCCTCCTTGGTACCTTATGTATAAAGCTGATGAAGTTATTTTAATAGCTTATTTAATTTAAATCCAAAATGTATGAAGGATGATTGCCCTTACTTTCCCTCTTTGCCCCTTGACATCGATGTCAATGGCCATTCCACCAGACCTGCTTACCCTCAAACTCTTAAAATCATGCAATATCATCATAAAATCGTTCAATACATTATCTTAATAGTAAAAAAATAAACATACAGTATATATAATTATACACCCCAAAATCGTACATTGTACGCCAGAATCGTAAGAGTAAACAGGTCTGATCCCACTGAAGTAGGTTGGCACTTGGCCTGCATTGCCTCAACTATTGACTGGTTGACCATTTACAAGAAAAGCTTGCTCTTAAAGCGAGAGACCATCGCATACATAATAACAACATTAGTTTTACATTTTCACAGGTTGTAAACTTTATTATTGGAAAATGGGGCTCATGTTACAGTCAAATTTTGAGAGAAATATTTCTTAAATCTCTTATTCCTATAGAGTGATGGAGTACAACAGACCAAGTTGCTTGCCTTACAACATAGTAAAGAGGCCATAAAAAATGTCCAAGATTTTGCCAGCTCAGATGCCCAGAGAGCACTTATACACTTGGCTAAAATTTTGTTAGAAAGGAAGAAATAGTGTGTTATTTTTATTTTAAGTAAGTAAGCATTGTAGAATTAACTTTTATTAATGAAAGAGTTGCATGTGTATAAATGATTACATAAGGAAGCACTCTTAGGGTTTATAGAATAGATAAAATATTGTTTTTTTCATATTTACATTTGTAATAAATGTATCAAGTCATGCTGTATAAAATGGTTGCCTTGTATCTGTTGTTATTTCTTATTAAAACTGGAACCTGTGTGGATAATAAAATTTCAAGAGGTTAAATTAAAAGCTTTCTCAATGAAAATAGTCTTACAGAAATGACAGTTATGACAAGATATGTCAACTGCATTTTGTAGGGGCATTTTTTATAACTTACTGTCTTTAAGTGAGTTTTACTCCAAAATAGACTAACTATCTTTAAATCAGAAGAGGTTACCTTGTCTATAAGTGAGCTTTACTCCAAAAATAGACTTTAACTATCTTTAAATCAGAAGAGGTTACCTTGAAGAAAAAAAACACTTGCTGTGCAAAATCATTGAGTTAAACAAGAAGATTTTCTGAATTAATCAGGCTTACATTTTGTTTAATATGGTGTGCCTATGGGGAATTTTCAGAAACTTAATTCTATTTAATAATACAGGCCTGCACAACTCAAAATCTAAGGCGAGCCGTAATAGTTTTTGAAAAACTTATGAAAGCCGAAAGATAATAGGACAGGAGGGTAATCTATTAAGAAAATAATAAAGAATATTTCATTACTTTGCTGACCGCAAAGTGGGTGCTGGCAGACTGCATGTGGCTAACCGCCCATATGTTGTGCAGGCCTTCAATAATATATTGCAGGGGAATAGAAGTAAAGGTTGCTTAAAATTGTACATGACTTTGAGTTATTTGTATCATTGCTTGAAAACATAAATGAATAAATCTATGATCAAGATTTGGGATTGCTCCTGTGGAGCTAGAATGAAAGTTTTCCTACTAATGTAAAATTATTTTATTGAAAGTCTCCAGAGAAACATATATGATTTATTTTGTATAATTCTTTATAGCAAAGTTACCTACATATTTATATTTTGGTATAAATTTTGCCTGCTTCTTTTGAACATACTGAATTTGTAATTTATTAAAATAAAATTCCTTTTTAAAGAATGTCTTATGGTTTAGGTGTGATTCAAATTTTCTTTGTGATGGCTTTTGTTTTTGAACAATCCATTTTATTTTATGTTTTATGGAAGCCCTTTTTCTAAATGAGTTCTCAATGTCAGTGATGTGATTAGGTCGTGCATAATGTATGCGATAAATCTAGTTATGTCGGCAGGGATTATTTCATCAATAATCATCAATGTCTTATGTGCATCTTATCATAGAGAAAGAAATCAATGTTCAGATTTTCCTAATGTCAAGGTTGTTGTTTGTGTGTCCATTTGTTAAAAGATTTTAATAAATTTACTTTTATTCCTTCCTGAATTACTGTATATGAACATGCAGAACTCGACAGAATGATGAATTTGGTATAGATATTTCTACTTAACTAGTGATAGATGCATCAAACCAATTTTGAACGTAAATACGGTCTTTAAAATTTTTTATGTTTATTTACATGTTTGTTTTTTTTAAATAAATAGCTTAACTAATAATTATGGTAATTTAGACTATTTTTTCCCATAGTTTTCTTGTCACGTGATCAAATCATTGATAAAAAATGAAATGAACTAACAGTGAAACTGAACGCTGGAACTGAAATTGTTTTAATGTCCATAGAAAATACATAACAAGCTACAGTCTGTGTGCATCTTTCAACTAATCTGACTGATTTTTTATATTTATTAAGTGGCTCAAAGAGAAGAAAAGTGTGTGCAAGACCCCAGTAGCTTGTATCTAGTGTGTTGATCTGCTTGCAAGTTATTGAGAGCTTTCGTTGACAGATTAAATTAACTAAATGTTATCTGGAACATTGAACCGTCATATAATTCTTCTAGTTCATTGAATTGTTCAAGTTGCCCTGTTATTGTGAATAGACTTAACTTTTTCTAAAATTAGTACCAGTATTCTTTAAATTTGGGATAAAAATTATTTTTAATATGAAGTTGGTCATTTAAATAAAATTATAAATTTAGTTTTTATGCAGTGATATAAATGTTTTCTATTTAATTTTAAACCTCAAGCTTATAAAATGAAAAACATTAGATAAATTTATAATACATCTAAATCACTAATAACACGAGGAAACAGATTATTAGTTGGGTTGGGGGGTTGTAATAACTCAGGGAACTCCCTCTAGTTAAGTTTGATTAGCTACAATTGTTATTTTTCTCTTCCATTTATGTCTGTGTAAAGTGATGTATATGACTGGTCTAATTGTGTTATAAATTCAAATTTAGCATTTCTATTGGTACACTGATAGATGCTGTTAATAAAGACTATATCAAAATTTAGTTATTTTGTGTATTAATATATTTAATTTTTATGGTACATGTGCTTGTCTATTGTGATTTTATTTGTTCACTTTTGCTTTTACTTCTTGAGCTTAGATGCCTTTTAAAGGAGCATTCCTTTACATCCAGGTTACCCTCTTGAGCTCTGATGCTGTGTAAAGGAGCAATCCTTTACATTAAGGTTACCATCTTGAGCTTTGATGCTGTGTAAAGGAGCAGTCCTTTAAATTAAGATTACCATCTTGAGCTCTGATGCTGTGTAAAGGAGCAGTCCTTTACATTAAGGTTACCATCTTGAGCTCTGATGCTGTGTAAAGGAGCAGTCCTTTACATTAAGGTTACCATCTTGAGCTCTGATGCTGTGTAAAGGAGCAGTCCTTTACATTAAGGTTACCATCTTGAGCTTTGATGCTGTGTAAAGGAGCAGTCCTTTACATAAAGGTTACCATCTTGAGCTTTGATGCTGTGTAAAGGAGCAGTCCTTTACATGAAGGTTACCATCTTGAGCTTTGATGCTGTGTAAAGGAGCAGTCCTTTACATTAAGGTTACCATCTTGAGTTTTATGCACTGTCAAAACAACCATATCCAGCTCTCACAACCTCTCTGTTTAAACACCCTGTCCAAATGATCCATGCTCTTCCCTTTTAGAAAGCTTTTATTGAACTTGACTCGTTTCATGGTTGAATATCTTCGAAGACAAGTTGAGCCAGCTTCCCTATAACTATATCCCAAGAACTAAATCTGCTGAATCAGATACTGTTATGAAATTTGAATGTATTAATTTTTAAAGTAGTCATATTACCTCCCCAATTATAGGCAACTACCAATGCCCCTTATCTTATTAGGTTGAAAGTCATTGATGTTGTAGCGGTCTTAGGACTAGACTAAAGTGCTTGATGTTGTAGAGGACTGATGATTAGGTTGAAAGAGCTTATATTGTAGAGGGCTGAGTACTAGGTTGAAAGAGCTTATATTGTAGAGGGCGGAGTACTAGGTTGAATGAGCTTATATTGTAGAGGGCTGAGGACAAGACTGAAAGTGCTTAATGTTTTAGAGGGCTGATGATTAGTTTGAAAGAACTTGATGTTGTAGCGGGCTGCTTGGTTAAAAAAGCATGATGTTGGAGAGGGCTGGGGTCTAGGTTGAAAGAGCTTGATGTTGGAGAAGGCTGATGATTAGGCTGAAAGTGCTTGATGTTGTAGCTGGCTTAGGACTAGGCTGAAAGAGTTTGATGTTGTTGAGGACTTGCTGAAAGAGCTTGATGTTGTAGTGGGCTGAGGATTAAGCTGAAGAAGTTGGTGATGTAGAGTGCGGATGTGATAATAGAAAAGAAGGCAGAAGGTGATTGGGGAGTTTAAATATGTTAATGTTTGTAAGCAGGTTTTTTTTTTTTTTGGGGGGGGGGGGTTTGGCTCTAATGGGTCGCCAGCCCAATGAAGAAACAATACAAACCAACCGGTAGCCTGTTAGCGGGAAGAAAAGAAGGCAGAAGGTGATTGGGGAGTTTAAATATGTTAATGTTTGTAAGCAGGTTTTTTTTTTTTTTGGGGGGGGGGGTTTGGCTCTAATGGGTCGCCAGCCCAATGAAGAAACAATACAAACCAACCTGTAGACTGTTAGCGTGGCCTTCTCTCGAGTATGACCTTGCACCACGTCAAGGTAGGTTCTTGACATTGGATGCACCAAAGATAATCAAAGAGCAATAAAATGTGCAATAAGATGGACAGGCTGCAGGACCGAAAATGATACATGATGAGGCAATAAAAGCAGACATTGGTCTGTTAACCTACTTACTCTACAACTGAGGTCGGCAAACTTTTAGAACTATTATGCCATTTCAGCGGGGGTCAAGTTTGTACACTAGGCCAGAAGAAACCAGGTGTCAAGATTGCACACTAGGCCAGAAGAAACAAGGTGTCAAGAAGGCACACTGGGCTAGAAGAAAAAATGTGTCAAGAAGACACACTAGGCTAGAAGAAAGCCCAAGGCATCATGTTTTATTAACAAAATACGATTCGCTCAATGATTTTGCTTGTACTTAGAGACAGATACAATATCAGATTCTAATGATTAACCTTAATTAAAAGTATCTGAAACTCTAGCTAAAAAAGAAACGGACAGAAATTAAAATGTATCTGTCGGTCTGCTCTGCTGTACCGTTCAGAACGTTGGAGATCAACCAAGAAAGATAGGAAAAGACTTCAAACCTTCGTGAAACGTTGCAATCGTAGAATCCTCGACATCAAGTTGTTCCACAAAATCCCAGCATGATGGAAATAGCAGCCTAAATTCCAGCGGAGCAAGAGATCTGGAAAAGAAGGTGGAGATGGAAAGTTCATACCACGAGAGAAACCATGCCAAATATAACAAGACAAGAACTAGTGTGGAACCATCAAGGGGCAAGAGGGCAGTGAAGACCAAATACCACCTGGAGAAGAGATGTCAACAAAGATGTAACAATGGCTAGGGTGCTGAGTGGCCGAGTGGTCTAAATGGAGACCATCCCAAGCTAGTCCAGTTAGTGGACTGGAGCACAATCAAAAGCGCCAAGCACGCCTGGCAACTCATCTAATAGAATGCAAACTCTGAAATCAAACCCAGCAATGCAAACGCGAAAGCGTCATTACATTGACACAATGAATATTCCGACAACTTTTTCGACGTAGAACGCATAAAGAGCACAGTGAAACATACGCATACACTCACTGGTAGTCATCTACTGCATCCTGGTCTATTTCCAGTTGTCTTGCCATTGGATTAAATAGGTAAGAGAGAGCGAGGCTGCCGAGGTGAGTAGCTCTTCCTCACCACTCAAGTCGAAAATTGTCATGGTCATCTTCGCGTGCGAAGCGCGAAAAAAAAAAAAAAAAAAAAAAAAAAAAAAAAAGACAAAAAAAAAAAAAAAAAAAAAAAAAAAACAAAGACTGAAAAAAAAAGTTTGAAAGAGTTAGAGAAGATAGCCGGAGACCGGACAGTTTGGAGAGAAACGTATTGCTAATGGCCTATGATCACCTGGGATTTGAAAAGACTAAGAAGAAGTGGATGATTAATGAAAACTCGTGAAAGTCCGAAGTGAATTATACTAGGTATTGCTTCATTGATGATCATTGAATCCACTAAGTTTACATTAGGATTACTTATTAACGTTCAACTCCAGAGATCAGATTTTAGACCTAGATAATATTCTTTGACCTCTAATCACAAATACTCCGTTTCAAGGTGATGATGTTGTGACTTTTGCTGGAAGTTGGGGAAGTTGCACTAAGGCAATATCATGCCCTTTTTGTATTTTTCTATTGGTGTTTTCAAAGTCTTAATCATGCGTTTGTAGCCGCAAAGAAGTTGAGGTTTGAAATCAGTTTTCTTCCTTTAAATGAGCCACTATCCAAGGTTGATGAGTCCCATCCACTCGGGTGCCAGTGTTATTTTGCACGTCTGGGTATTTTAACCCAGGGTTGTAGCTAGGTTAAGTGCGCCCTGGGTGGGTCAAGATTGTTCCCTATCAACAAACAAACAAAATAAATAATAATAATTTTTAAAAAACTGCAGTTGGCAGAAACTCCGTCACCTCACAATAAAGAAACAAAACTGGCGTCAGGGGACGCACTGTCCCTTCCGCCCCCTTCCAACACCACTGTTCCAGCCCACAAGTTTTGCATGTCACGTGCTGTAGGTCACACTTGTAACGGTTGGTGACACACTTGTGCTTTTGGTGACACTCTTGTGCTGTTGGCAACACACTTGACCGCACAGCCATCCACTCCTAGATACACACTGAGTAATGAATTTATTTACATGTCTACATACAGAGCCGTCGGGTGCAGGGTTTCTTTCAGCTATATCCCGGGGGAGGGGGGGGGCAAAGCGCCCCCCCCGGGAAAACCAAGTGCCCCCCGGGGCAAAAATATGTACAACAACAAATCAACTGGCACTGTCCCCCCCCCCCAAAAAAAAATCGGAAGTGCCCCCCCCCCCC